TATAATAGTCATTTTACGTTAAAAATTGGTGAAAATGTCGTTTTGCACAAGAAAATACAAAGGTAAGGACGTTCTGCACCAAAAAATCAAACGTAGGGACGTTTTCCACAAGACCCGTCATAGGTAGGGACGTTTTACGTTATTTACCCTATAAAAAACTATTAGTTCACAACAATGTCAAACTATGATGCAACTATAGCAAAAGTGATGAAAATCACTCCCCATCTCAAAGCTAACTTGCAAATGATGTAGTCAAAGCGGGAGACTAAAAAGTCAGGAGTGGTGTGCGAGTGCGACTAAGTCTCTTTCGGAATGAGATGTCATTCAATCTATTAATTTGGATGTCATTGTTAGTCCTTTTCTCATTTGCTTTTAATTCGTGGAGGATGCCATCGAATTTTATTTTTTATTTTTTCTGATTTTTTGTCAAATCACAAAAAAAATAATAAAAAAAAATGGAAACTTAAATGAGCCATACACATGTTTATGAAGTTCATAATTGATTTAGATATAATCAAAATTTATTAATTTTGATAAAATATTGCGGGTTCTATAAAATAGGATGGAATAACTTGGGACAATGCAAAAAAGCCACCTTATAGTGTAGGTTCAATGTGAGAATTGTTCCCAAATCCCAACTAGTTCCCAACTTCTTAGGTATTTTACTACTCTGTGGCCAAGCCGGTTGTCTCTCTTAATTACAATAAACTGTTGGAATTCAAAAGATTCAACAAAAACAAACTAAACTCCATTAATTCATTACATAGAGGGTACGATTTCATATATTAAAATGAGTAATGCTATATAGTCCACTGGGGTTGTAACTCCAATCTAGGTGGTTCTAAATGAGATGCCATCATTTAATGTCACATTAACGCTACCTAAATTGGGGTTGTAACCCCAGTGGAGCTAAATAACATTACTCTATAAAAATACAAAATAAAAATCAAATGTATCATTGCACTGAATGAGCTTGATGAAGGGACAGTGCAATCGATTCACTTGATCAAGTCTCGCTTAGAACAATATTTGGCTCAAACAACCCTCCTATTTTTTGGACAATTTTCATTAATTAAAAAAAGAAAATAAAATAAAAAGCTAAGAAT